CTCGAGTGCTCGGCCTGGTGAAAAGCCTGCGCCGTATCACTGTTGATTTCTTATTTGATATTGTATCGTTTCAAATCGTCAAACTCCACTGGAGGATCAACACAGGTGCAGTATCAGGTGGAGCTGCGCTGGTGTGTACTTGTTGTTGTGGTATTTGATAAGGATGCACTGATCTCCAATCCGACCAAAAACCTAAACTCAACTACTAATTAATGATGAACGAGCTAATTCTGAGCAGTTCATTGAGCTAACAGACTTTGCTAATGGTTTGTTAATAGTGTGAGTTGTGACTTACCTTTTTTTGTTAATATCATTAGTATAATAAAGTAACAGTAACACCAAAACTTGCAATAGTTTTAACACAAGATTATCCAGCTTCAATGTAGAGTCCAAATTAATCGCCTCTTGTGAAATTTTAATTATTTAAAAAAAATATTTTATGTAAGCGTTGCTTAATTGAGGCTTTTTAAACACATTTATAATTTTTTTTTTACAAATTTTAACATTTTTAATAGTTTAAGTAACTAATTTCTTCTGATTTGTTTTGTCTTTGCCATGGAGACTTCATACAATATTAATTAGATATTTTTCCAGATACTAGTATTTAGCTTAAAGTGCAATTTAAACAGTTAACTAGGTTAATTATGCAAGTTATTGGATAACAATTATTTGTTCTGTAGACAATTAAAACATAATGGTTTTTGTTGTAGTAGTAATGACAATGTGTTTGTTTTTGTTTTTGTTTTTTAAGTAAGGGTTAGCAGAAAACCAAATGTAGTCAAAGACATTTTTCATGTATTTTGTAATCAGTAACTCACGAGCAATCCACCCTAAATCATCCTCGATTTGTTGTCTTCAGCTCCGGAAAAATGTAATTCAAGTGTAATCTAAAAAGTAGTCAGATTATGTTAGCATGAAAGTGCAATCTAAGACATTTTCTCACCAGTAACGCATGAATCATCCACCTTAAATCTTGCTCTGTTTACCTTTTTTTTTTTTTAAGTAATCCAGGGTACTCAGCATGTAATATATTAGTATATAGTAAGTAATCTCTCAGTAATGACTCAGTAATTCTTACTAAAATGTGCTCTATTTGTGGTCTGCAGTTCCAAAAAGTAATCCAAATGTAATCCAAAAGTAATCCGATTATCTGTAACTGATGCGTAATCCACCTTAAATCATAGTCCATATTTGGTCCGCAGTTCCAGAAAAAGATCATCCAAAAGTAGTCAGGTTATGTTAGCATGAAAGCGCAATCTAAGACATTTTCTCACCAGTAACTCATGTATAATCCACCTTAAATCTTGCTTTGTTTGCAGTTTTTTTTTTAAGTAATCTAAAATGTAATCCACAGGTACTCAGATTATATTAGCATGTAATATATTAGCTATGTATAACGAGTATCAGTATCGACTCTGTAATCTTTCTTTAAATGTGCTCTATTTGTGATCTGCAGTTCCAAAAAGGAATCAAAATGTAATCCAAAAGTAATCGGATTATCAGTTACTCATGAGTACTCCACTTTAAAAAAAAGTAGTCGGATTATGTTAGCATAAATATGCAATCTAAGATGTTTTTTCACCAGTAACGCATGGATAACTCTCCTTAATCTTTTTTATTTGTGGTGTGCAGTTTACAAAAAAGTAATCCAAATGTAATCCAAAAGTACTCAGATTATATTAAAATGAATGTGTAATCAGTAACTCAACAGTAATCCACCCAAAATGTGCTCTATTTGTGGTGTGCAGTTCTAAAATAGTAATCCAAATGTAATCCAAAAGTACTCAGACTATCAGTAACTCATGACTAACCCACTTTAAATCACAGCCCATTTGTGGTCAGCAGGTCCAGAGAAAAAGTAATCCAAAAGTATAGTCAGATTATGTCAGCATAAATGTGCAATCTAAGACGATTTCTCACATGTAACTTATAAGTAATCCACCTTAAATCATAGTCTATTTGTGGTCCACAGTTCCAGAAAAAAAGTTATCTAAAAGTAGATTCTGGTAGCATGAATGTGCAATCTAAGACATTTCCTCACCAGCAACTCATGAATAATCCACCTTAAATCTTGCTCCGTTCCCAGTTTTTAAAAAAAGTAATCCAAATGTAATCCAAATGTACTCAGAGTACATCAGTATAAATGTGTAATCAGTAACTTAACAGTATCCCACCCTAACATGTGCTCTACATGTGGTCTGCAGTTTTTGAAAAAAAGTAATCCAAAAGTACTTATCAGTAACTCTTGAGTAATCCACTGTAAACCATAGTCCAATTGTAGTCTGCAGTTCCAGAAGTACTCAGATAATGTTAGCATGAATGTGTAATCTCAAACTCATGAGTAATCCACCTTAAAACGTGCTTTATTTGATGTCCGCAGTTCCAAACCAAATGTAATCCAAATGTAATCCAAAAGTAGTCAGATTATGCTAGCGAACATCTCATGAGTAATCCACTCTAACTCATGTTCTGTTTGTGATCCGCAGTTCCCGAAAAGCCTCGTCTGATGGTGAGTCCCACGAACATGGGCACAGCTCTCCTGCAGTGGCACCCGCCGCCCAACACCTTCGGCCCGCTGCAGGGCTACCGGCTGCGCTTCGGCCGCAAGGACGTGGAGCCGCTGACCGTCATCGAGTTCTCTGAGCGGGAAAACCACTACACCACCAAGGAAATCCACAAGGGGGCGTCCTACACCTTCCGCCTCTCCGCCCGAAACAAAGTGGGCTTCGGGGAGGAGACAGTGAAGGAGATCAGCACCCCTGAGGACACGCCGGCTGGGTACCCGCAGGGTATCGTAGCCGAAAGCAGCACCACCACCACCATCCAAGTCAGCTGGCAGCCGGTGGCGCTAGCCGAACGCAATGGAGCCGTGGTCAAATACGCCCTTCAATACAAAGACATCAACAGCCCGCGCAGCCCCTCGGAACTGTTCATCACCGCGCCCGAATCCACCGTCACGCTAGACGGCCTAAAAGCAGACACCACATACGATATTAAAATGTGTGCCTTCACCAGTAAGGGTCCCGGGCCCTACAGTCCCAGCGTCCAGTTCAGAACGCAGCCTGTCAATCAAGGTAGGAGGCTCCAGACAGCCCGTCGGGGCCCCGTTTTGTCTTCAAGATGCGATATTAGCCCTAGCGTAGTATATCAGTTAGTGCCCCTAATGGAGAGTCAGGGTAATGTGTCAGGTAAGCCGCAGATCTGGACTAGTCCTCCAGAGGTAGCCGAGGAACACATGAGCAGGTAAGCTGATGCCGTAGCGCGAACGCTCTGTGTGTCTAATTCATACGACTTTCTTTTAGCAGTGTTCGCAAAAAATTTCCACGTGAGAGCAGCCATGAAGACCTCGGTGCTGCTGACGTGGGAGATTCCCGAAAACTACAACCCCGCGCAGCCCTTCACGGTGAGAAAACCTGACGTCTCTTATGCAGGGTTCGCAATTTGAAGACAATTTGTAGGGTTTTATTGTCAATTTTAAGTTGCCGTACGAAATTAAATATTTGCTTGAGTAATTACGTATTATAAGTCACATACATAGGCTGAATATAGGCAGATTGCTGCTGGGTGGCATCAATGATGCAGAATGCATTACATACACCTAGAATTCTCCTCAACTATGTCATCTGCGCAAGTTCAAAAACTTTAGCTCAAGCTGAAGACACTCGCGTTTGTTTGGTGTAATCAGTAACGTCTGCATCTGCATCAGCAACAACACAGCTGCTTAAACCAAAGCTAAAATCTGTTGCTGTCTTCAAACAACTCTGATTACCTTTGTTTGTTTGATCCACTCAAATGATTTCCTCTTTCGTTTATTGGGTCTCCTTCAACCTCTGCTGGTGTTTCTGCAGATCCTGTATGATAACGGTCAGAGCGTGGAGGTGGACGGGAAGCTGACGCAGAAGCTGATTGTTAACCTGCAGCCGGAGACGCAGTACTCATTCCTGCTCACCAACCGCGGGAACAGCGCCGGCGGTCTGCAGCACCGCGTCTCCACCATGACGGCTCCAGATATTCTGCGCACCAAACCCTTCCTGATCAGCAAGACCAATGCAGACGGTATGGTGACGGTGGAGCTGCCCGGCGTCCAGACGGCGGAGAGAGTTCGGTAAGGACGTCTTCACGGGAAAAGATGTTTTTCTGTCTTAGAGTTTGTGTCTCTTTCCTGTCCAACTATCTAAACACTCTTAAATCAAGGAGCCGCTAAAAATACAGAAATATCAATATGGCCACAGATACAGGCATTGGACAATGAAGGTGCACCACTGGCCAGTGTAGTGTTGTAGATTTGATGGGTAAATGTGAGCAGCTGGTGTTCAATCTGCACTGGTCTTCACTCCTGCAGTAGAGTAGGAGGTGGTTGGGTCCCTGGTCTGTTCCAGGTTTCAGGCAACCGCTGTGATTGGATATGGGTGTTATAAATTACGGGAGTTTTCTGGAAGACAGAACAAAATGAGAGATGGATCTGAAATACGGGAGACTACCTGGAAAAAGTGTTGGCAGGTATGGTGATGATCCAGAGTAATGTCAGCACACCACCAATAAGAGGAACCACACTGTACGCCAGATGAAGCTGTCTGAAAGAGGTGTCCGGCTGATAACCACAGCAACCTAACTCACAGCAGAATGAAATGTGCCGCTCGACTCTCCTGTTTCCAGCAGAACTGTTGGTCTGGAGCTCCACTGGGACAATATACATGGTCGGCTGCTAGAGCCAAAGCTTTGCTCACACATGCCAAGGTCAAACACTGGTTTCAATGGTGCCAGCAGCCAAATCTTGGGCTATGGACAATGTCAAAGATGTTTAGTTCTCTGATGTGTCCATCTCCACCGTCTTTCCCACATCTGGGAGAGTTAAGGTGTGGAGAAGCCCCAAAGAAGCGCCCCACCTACATCACTGATGCCCAGAGTGAAACATAGGGGGCACGATGGCAATCGCTCAATACCATGGCACTCCTTAGCTCCAGTACTTGTACTAGATGTGCACTGGGTCCCTGCCAAGGTCTACCCAACCATTCTGGAGAACCATGTGACCCAATAGGTCAAACATTGTGTCCTGAAGCTGTTGGTGTCTATCAGGATGATAATGCAGCAGGACTGGAGACAGAGTGGTCAGATGAACATGACAGTGAAGTTGAACATCTCCCATGGCCTGCACAGTACCAATACTAAATATTATTGAGTACTTTGGGGTGTTTTAGGAGGAGTGAGTCAGGAAAGGGTTTCCTCCAGAAGCATCACATAGTGACCTGAACACTATTCTGACGAAGAGCGGCTCAGAGACTGCTGTACAGGCTCATGTCTGTCCTTCCCAACATTATCTGTTGCTGTATTGGCTGCAAATAGAGGGCCTACACCATACTAATGAATCATTGGTCTAAAACTAGGCACTGTTTCATTGTTCAACCCCTGTATATTGCGTATCTCTATTTTTAATGTATTAATTATACATTGTACTGCTCTTAAATCCAATATATGTCTGTAATAGTGGTCTTGAAAGGTCTTAAATGTGCCTTGAGGAGGCCGGTGCAGAAAGCCGGAGTGAAGCGAGCAGGTTATTGATGTGTTTACTGAAGGTTTCTCTCTTTCCTCAAACACCTCGTTAATCCACTGTCATCCCGACTGGATTGGAAAGTCCAGATTGATTGGAGCTAATCTTGATGGATGTCAGCCGCTCACACACTCTCTGCTCTCTACCTAGGGCTTACTACATAGTGGTGGTGCCACTGAAGAAACAGCGGCCGGGGAAGTTCATCAAACTGTGGGAGAATCCGGACGAGATGAATCTGGAAGAGGTGAGAGACTTTATCTTATTTTTTAAAATGTATGAGATTTCATGGCGCCAGAAAGCAGACTTTTTATTCTGTTGTCATGGCAACCATATACAATGCACATTACAGGGTGTGCCAGTCTAATGCCTCATCCACACTAGCAGTGACTTTGTAGCTGCCTGTCACTAAGGTGGCGACCTCAAGTGAGCTCTACTGGTGCTCCTATTGGCTGTCGCTCGAGAAAGTCGCTCATAAAGTTGAAGGACTCTTAACTTTGTCATGTAGCACGACATGCCTAATTGGTCGCCAACAGTTGCTGATGCTCGCATAGAGGAAAGTCGTCGCAAGTCGCTCACTCTCAAAATTAACGCTCGGTTGCCGCTTTGAAGCTGCGAGTTGCTTGTAGTGTGAATGAAGCTTGATCTCATGAGGAAACGTCACTATTTTAAGTATTGTACGAAAAGTGGTGCTGGCGCAGTGGACAGCAGGAAGGTCGCTGGTTTGAGCTTCGTTGAGTTGGTGTTTCTGTGTGGAGTTTGCATGTTCTCCCCGTGTTGGCGTGGGTTTCCACCGGGTGCTCCGGTTTCGCCCCACAGTCCAAACACATGCGCTATAGGGGAACTGATCAACTACACTGGGCGTGGTGTATGTGTGTGAATGGGAGTGTATGTGTGTTTCCCAGCACTGGGTTGCAGCTGGAAGTGCATCCGCTGTGTAAAACATATGCTGGACAAGTTAGCAGTTCAATCCGCTGTGGCGAGCCCTGATGATTAAAGGAACTAAGCTGTATTGAAAATGACCCTAACCCTAGCCAAAAGGAAGCCCTATGTTAACAGTGTCCAAAAGCGTCGTCGACTTCTTTGGGCTCGGAAGCATCTAAGATGGACCATCACACAGTAGAAACATGTACTCTGCTCAGATGATTCGGTATTTTAGGTATTTATTGTAAGAAATGGATGCAGTGTGCTCTGGACCAAAAGGAAGCCCTATGTTAACAGTGTCCCAAAACGCCATCGACTTCCCTGGGCTCGGAGGCGTCTGGGATGGACCATCACATAGTGGAAACGTGTACTCTGCTCAGAGGAATCAGTGTTTTCAGGTGTTTTCTGGCAGAATTCATTTTCTCTTCAGTCCCTAAACGTCACTCGACGTTGAAAGGAACAGTCGCTTGTTGCTTTGCCGCTGTGAGTCGCTTGTAGTTTGAACGAGGCTTTAAAAAGGATATCTTCTCAGTTTCCTCAACACTTAGCTAATTATATATATATACCATTTCTGCTTGTATCTTGACTTCTCTTTCAGATGTTTCTCTTTCTAGTTTACCTTTGCAAATTAGCCTCAAACCCTGCATTTCACCCTCCCCCCCTCCCCCACCCTGGGGGAGGAGCAAATTGTTCTCAGATTTACCAATGAGATCCTACAACTGAACAAATTAGCCAGTACATCAAAAAGTTAGGAATGGCTTAGAGATTGCGTCGACGATGCTCCACTCAGAGCAGGAGATGTGTAAGTTATGAGAACTTTATCAGCGCTAGTTCCCATCAGTTCGCTAATATGCTAATGGGAACAGGAGCACACGTGTTGTTTTCTGAAGGGCAGCATGAGATGCAGTTATTTTTAGTCTTAGCGAACACGTGAACGGCGAGTGTTTCCTCAACGCACTGCCAACATAACGCATCAAGGGGGCGGAACCCTGCAGAGAGGTGCACTCTGATTGGCTGATGGCAGCTTATGC